AGACCAAGGGTGAACATGATTGAGATATATAAGATTCAAGTGGCATTCCACTCATAAAGGTAAAGTTGCCATAGTCTTACCAGACCAGAGGCTGCTCTCTAATGAGAGTGGTTTAACCCAAGGATTGCCATGCCTCAGGTGAGGGGAAAGGTTGAGAAGGACAGTACTTCATGATAATCTCAGCTGTTACAGGAATTGAACCCACATTGTTGAACCCTACTTTGCATCACAAACCAGCTGTATAACCAACTGAGTCAACGATTCTCCAATTCCACTCATAGCATCTTGCCAACCACAAGAAGATTCAATTATTCCTACTGTCTGCATCCTATTAGCCAGCCAAACTTCTATGCATGCTTATATGCTAACCCCTACATTATAAGCCTTTATTTTCTATAGTAATCTTTAAATGTGGCACCTTATCAAATGCCTTCTGGAAGCCTAATATCCACCAGTTCCCCTTTATCTACAGCATGTTACCTCCTCAAAGAACCCAAATAGATTGGTTAATCATGATTTTCCTTTCACAAAACCATATTGACTGTGCCTGATTACTTTGAACTTTTCAAATTGCCTTGCTATCGAACACTTTCCTTATGACAGATGTTGAGTAAACTGTCATGTAGTTTCCTGCTTTCTGTCTCCTTTGCCTTTTGGATTAGCACGATTAAGAAATAACAATAACACACGAAACTTGCAGGGGTTTGTGCCACAATTTTGAGAGTTTCCCTACAGGTGAGCTCTGCAATGGCCTGACAGTCATACTCACCAAACCATACCTCTCTGCCCATGTTCAGTCTCCATTACTATCCCAAGAAATATCCAGCACCACATGCAGTTCAGAGCCAGCGGAGATAACAGCACAAAAACAGAAGTTGCTGGAAAAGCTCAGCAGGTCTGGCAGCTTCTGTGAAGAGAAATCAGAGTTAACATTTTGGGTCAGGTGACCCTTCCTCAGAACCTTCTCTGATTTCTCTTTACAGATGCTGCCAGACCTGCTGAGCTTTTCCAGCAACTTCTGTTTTTGTTCCTGATTCACAGCATCCGCAGTTCTTTCAGATTTTACTTAGAGATAACAGCACAATGGTGTAGTCAGAAGTGAATCACCTGGGAGTCCTAAACATTGACTGTAAACCCTATGAAATCTTACGACATCATGCCAAACATGGGCATCAAAATCTCCTGCAGATTACTGCATATTCTGCTGCTTCAGCTGATGATTTATCATTTCCTCTTGTTGAATTCTAATGGGTCGAAGTACCAAGGGTGGCAAGGGTACAGAATTTGGATGGACAGACGGACGGACTCAGAAGTAACAAAATAAATAGTCCAGCATGATAGGTGATAGGAATAAATGTGGCGGAGAGTGAAACATTGAATACGGAGGTTAGTGGGTTGATACATGAGGATAAGGGGGATTGGTGGGGACCAATCCCTATCCCTACCTACCTGCACTCACCTATCACCATCCCACCTACTTTCCCCAGCCCCACCCCTCCTCTCTCTATTCATTTCGGAGTTCCCTTCCCCCTCCCCCATTTCTAAAGAAGGGCTCCGACCTGAAACATCAACTTTCCTGCTCCTCGGATGCTGCCTCGCCTGTTGCACTCCTCCAGCTCCACACTGTGTAAATCTACACTCGTCCCACTTTCCAGCACCAGGCCCATAGCCTCGGATGTTATGATGTTTAAAGTGCTCATCCAAGTTCATTTTAAAGATTGTGAGGGTTTTGGCCTCAACTACGCTCCCAGGCAGTGTTTTTCAGACCCCCACCACCCTCTGTGTGAAACAGCTTTTCCTCAAATACCCTCTAAATCTCTTGCCTTTCACCTAAACATTATACCCCCTTGTTATTGACCCTAACTGTTCATCCTATAGTCTGTTTCTCCTCGTGGGTAAATCTAGAATTCAAAGACACAGTTTACAAATATGTGGTTTCCCATTAAAGGTGGCAACGAGAACAGTATTTTCCTACTAATGCTCATTAGTGCTTCGAATTCTCTTTCTCTTTTAGCACTGAAAGTCAAGTTATTGAGTGAGTATGTTCAAGGATAATTTTGAAATATTCTTGATTTACAATGGAGTTAATGACTATGGGACAGACAGGGAGGTGAAGGAAAAGCCACAATCAGAGTAGGCATTTTCTTATTTAATGGCATAGCACCCTTGACAGGCTGAATGGCCTACTCTCGCTCCTATTTCTTATATACGCTGCTGTCAAATTTTGCCTCAAACCCTTTTGCCCAAGAAAAACAGCCCCAACCTTTCCAACCTAACTCTAACTAGAACCCCCCATCCCTGTACCCATTCTTGTCTGCACCATCTCAATTCCAGAATTAGATGCATTGTCCTCGTTGCGAGCTAAGCGGAAATATATTCAAATAATATAAAAGAAACAAAAATGGAAGAAACTCTGCTACTGCAAACCACAGCCACTTGCTTTCACATTTGGAGCAGTAGTTGCCAATTTTCAGACCTCGTTCTCAATGCTGTCGAAAACTACACGTACCCCTCCCTCACCTTCCGGTCTGATTTCTTCAACACTGCTCTACTTAACCTTGTTAAATGTAGTTACAATTAACTCTTAAATTGCCAACTGTTTTCCTGTCTGGGATAGTAAGAACTGCCGATGCTGGAGGCAGAGATAACACAGTGTGGAGCTGGAGGAACACAGCAGGCCAGGCAGCATCAGAGGAGCAGGAAAGTTGACGTTTTGGGTCGGGACCATTCTTCAGAAATGGGGGAGGGGGAAGGGAGCTCAGACATAAATAAAGAGAGGAGGGGTGGGGCTGGGGAAGGTGGATGGGATGGTGATAGGTGAGTGCAGGTAGGCAGTCGTGGGGATTGGTCAGTGAGGTGGGAGGAGCGGACAGCTGGGAGAGAAGATGGACAGGTTGTGTCAGGTCAAGGAGGCGGGGATGAGAGGGAGGGTTGGTCATGGGATGAGGCTGGGGGTGGGGAGAATTTGAAGCTAGTAAAGTCCACATGGAGACCATTGGGCTGTAGACTCCCAAGGTGGAATATGAGGTGCTGCTCCTCCAGTTTCCAGGTGGCGTCATTGTGACACTGGAGGAGGCCCAGGATGGACATGTCACCCAGGGAGTGGGAGGGGGAGTTGTTTGTCGTGAACAGAGTGCAGGTGCTCTACAAAATGGTCTCCGAGCCTCCACTTGGTCTCTCCGACATAGAGGAGGCCACATTGGGAACAGTGGATGCAGTAGACCACGTTGATGGATGTGCAGGTGATCCCCTGTCTGATGTGGAAGGTTTGTTTGGTACCTTGGATGGAGGGGAGGGGTTGGTGTAGGGGCAGGTGTAGCAACTCCTGCAGTTGCAGGGAAAGGTGCCGGGGGTTGTGGGGCTAGTGGGGAGCGTGGATCGGACGAGGGAGTCGTGGAGAGAGCAGTCCCTATGGAAGGCAGATGGGGTGGGGAGGGAATATATCGTTGGTTGTGGGGTCAGATTGCAGGTGGCGGAAGTGGTGGAGAATGATATGTTGAATACGGAGTTTGCTGGGGTGATATGTGAGGAATAGGGGGCTTCTGTCTTTGATTTTGTTGCAGGGAGGGGATGTGAGGGCAGAGGTGCGGGAAATGCAAGAGATGCGGTCACGTGCATTTTCGATCACTGAAGGCGGAAAGTTGCGGTTCTTGATGTAAGAGGACATCTAGGATGTTCGGGGGTGAATTGCCCCATCTTGGGAGCAGACGTGATGGAGGAATTGGGAGTAGGGGAACGCATTCTTGCAGGAAGTTGGTGAGAGGAGGTGTAGTCTAGGTAGCTGTGGGAGTCGGTGGGTTTGAAATAGATATCAGTTTCAAGGTGGTCACCAGAGATGGAGACAGAGGGGTCCAGGAAGGAGAGGGAGGTATCAGAGATGGTCCAGGTGAATTTGAGGTTGGGGTGGAAGGTGTTAGTAAAGTTGATGAACTGTTCAAGCTCCTCATGGGAGCATGAGGCAGCGCCAATACGGTCATTGATGTAGCGGAGGAAGAGGGATTGTTCCATGTATCCTACAAAGAGGCAGGCATAGCTTAGCCCATGCGGGTACCCATGGCCACCCCCTCAGTCTGTAGGAAGTGGGAGGAGTTAAAGGAGAAGTTGGTAAGGGTAAGGACGAGTTCAGTTAAGCGGATGAGGGTGTCAGTGGAGGGGGATTGGTTGGGCTTGAGGAGGAGGAAGAAGCAGAGGGCTTTTAGGCCATCTGTGTAGGGAATGCCAGTGTACAGGGATTGGATGTCCACAGTGGAGATCGGGTGTTGGGGCCCAGGGAATTGGAAGTCTTGGAGGAGGTGGAGGGCGTGGGTGGTGTCCCGGACATAGGTGGGGAGTCCCTGGACCAGGGGGGAGAAAACAGAGTCAAGGTAAGTGGAGATAAGTTCAGTGGGGCAGGAGCAGGCAGAGACAATGCGTCGGCCAGGGCAGTCGGGTTTGTGGATTTTGGGATTTGAGTTTGTGGATTTCACGTCTGATTCTTTTACTTTGCAATGTCTGTCGCTTTGTACTTCATTTTGCTCTTCATAACAGTCTGCCACAAATAACAAATTCTTATTTCTTTTTCCAATTAGCTCAATCCTAATTGCGCCCATTAATCCTTCTCTCCCAGTGCTGATTGACTCCCAATGCAGTAGCTTCTCAAGTATAACACCCAGAGCACTTCATGTCCTGTCTGCTTTCTATTTCTATAACCTCCTCCAAGGCTACAATTCCTCCAATTCCCATCTCTTCTGCATCTCAGATTTCCTTTACTGCTCAATTGGTGCTGTTCCCTTCAGTGGCTAAGGCCATACATAAGCTCTGGAATTTTCTCCCTGAACATCACCACCCTTGTCTGTCTCTCTCTCTCTTTTCATCTTGAAGTCACTCTTTAAATGCACCTTGACTTAAAAGTCACTTGACCCAGGTTTTTTTTTGCTTTCATTGTTTCATAGTGAAATAAATTTACTTTTCAACAAAACTATTTTCAAGACAACCCTGTCATAATCTTCTTTTTCTTTCAGGACGAAAGAGAAAACCTGCGTCAGAAATTGGTTAAAGCTACCAGGTTGAATGCAAACGATTTCATAGTAAATGTAAGTCCTGAATGTATGCGGGAATTGTGCCCCAGTTATACATCAGGCGTAGAAACCCTGGCATCAACTGATCTTAGTCCAGGCCCCAACTGAAGCACTGGGAGTAACTTCTGTACAACTGAATTTACAAGACTAAAGGTGTTTGGCAGATGGAGTACAATGTGGGAAAATGTCAACTTGGGCAGGAAGAGTACTAAAGCAATTTACTGATTAGATGGAGAGAGTTTGCAGAGGTTGGTGACAGAGAAACCTGAGTATCCTGGTACATGATTTAACAATTCATATATGCAGATACAGCAAATGTTTAGTAAGGCAAATGGAATGTTATTGGTAATTACAAGCAGAATGGAAGGTAAAAATAAATAAGTGTCTAAACAGGGCTTCCGGGGGACCCCTTCTGCTTATGGTTTTCGTCTCTTTAATTGAAAACTAAAAATATAATTGCTTTACAACCAGTTCAGAAAAAGTTCACAAAACTTGTTTCTGGGATGAATGATTTTAGAAAAGTGAAGGGTGATTTTCTTGAAGCATTTAAGCTCCTGAGGGGGTTCAATAGAGTGAATGCTGGGAGGATGTTGCCTCTTGTAGGGGAGGCTAGATTTAGGGGGCATAGTTTAAAAAGAAGCGATCGCCTTTTAAGACAGCTGTCGAGAATTTCAGAGGGTTATTAGAGTGTAGAATTCTCTTCCCCAGAAGTCAGTGGAAGCTGGGTCATTGAATTTATTCAAGCTAGAGTAAGATTTCTGAGAGACATGAGGGTCAAGGGTTACAGAATGCAGACAAGAAAGTGGGGTTGAGACCACAACCAAATCAACCATGATCTTAAGGCCTACACCTGCTCCTAAGTCCTAAGTTTCTGTTGCTGGAGAAGCTCAGCAGGTCTGGCAGCATCTGTGAAGGAGAAAACAGAGTTAACGTTTCGGGTCCGGTGACCCTTACTCAGAACTTCGGAGTTCTGAGCAAAGGTCTGAGGAAGGGTCACCGGACCTGAGACGTTAACTCTGTTTTCTCCTTCACAGATGCTGAGCTTCTCCAGCAACTTTGTTTTTGTTCCTGATTTACAGCATCCGCAGTTCTTTTGGTTTTTATTCCCCAAGTTTCAGTGTTGTATCAATGACTGACCTGTTCCAGCATTGTTCAAAATACTAGTTTATTTGTTTTGTCAGATGAGTATGGGAGTTTTCACCCTTAGATATTAAACATCCATAATCTCCAGGTAACCTGACTCATTTCTTCAGTATCATCCGAACCATCCCCCTGATTATCCTGAGCTATTTCTCACCACCTTTGCAATTAAATGCCAGGCAACGAGGTCTATGGGTAAATTTCTCAAATTGCCAGCAGTTCAGGCCCTTAAACAGTCAATTAATGGCTACTTAATGGCCTTGACATGCCACCTCCCTGATCATCTGCCCCTCAAGGTGGGTGAGGAGGGTGACTAGCTTACCAATTGGGAAACCATGGCAACTGCCTAACACGTTCGGGCTGGTCACGGACTTCAGGAAACGACGTGGAGAACACACCATTGTCTGCATCAATGATGCTGAGAGAGTGTCAAGTTGCTAAGAGTAACCATCACCAACAATCTGTCCTGGTCCACCCACGTCAACACTACAGTCAAAATAAAACACAATAACAGCTCCACTTCCTCAGAAGGTTATGGAAATTCAGCATGTCCATAAAGATTCTTGCCAATGTAGATGCACTGTAGAAAGCATCCTATCTGGATGCATCACAGCCTGGTATATATATGGCTCTGCCCAAGACCACAAGAAATTACACAGAGTCATAAACACAGCCCAGTCTATTACGCAAAGCAGCCTTTCATCCATTGACTCCATCTATACTTCCTGCTGCCTCAAGAAGGCAGCCAACATAATCAAGACCCCTCCCATTCCATTTATACTGTCTTTCACCCTCTCCTACAGGCAGAAGATACAAAAGTTTTAATACACGTACAGACAGATTCAAGAACAGCTTCTTCCCTGCTGTTATCAGAACGGACCTCTCAAATTCTAATGTTGATCTCTCTCTGCACCTTCTCTGTAGCTGTAACATTGTATTCCATGTTCTGCACTTTCTTCTATTACCCTGATGCACATTGTATGATATGATCTGCCTATATAGTGTGCAAAACAATACTTTTCAATGTGTCACGGTCCATGTGGCAATAATAATACAAATCAAATCAAATCCTTGTTTAAGGAAGGATATAAATGAATTGGAATCAGTTCAGAGAATGAGTGAGTTGTCATATGAGGAAAGATTGGATTGGCTTGTCCCCAGTGGAGTTTAGAAGCCTAGGAGGCTACTTAATTGAAACATAAATTTCAGAGGGGTTTTGACAGGATGCATGTGGAAAGGGTGTTTCCTCTTGGAGTTTGAATCAAGGGTTTACTGTTAAAAATAAGGAGTTGCCCGTTTAAGACGTAGATAAGGAAACATGATTTATAGAGGGTGATGAGTCTTTGAAATTCTCCTTCTCAAAACACAGGGGTAGCAGAGTTTTGAGTCATAGATCTGCAGGGCCTAAGAAAATTGGATGACTTTATCGCTCTTCTTTTTCATTTTCATTTTCTTTTCCTATTTTGGACATTTCTTCTACTTTTCTTCTCTTTCTCTCTGTCTTTGGTATTCCATTGCAAGCTCTTTCTACACCACTTTCTTTTTCTCAAACTAGTTTTTCATTTCTATTTGAAGTGTAGCTGATAACTTGAGTGCTACAAGGATCCTCGTTTTCCCTGTCAAGATTTAAATGCCAATCCTGTTATAATTTCTGGTTTTTGAACATTCTAATTTTAGGTCATTCCAAATGCTGCTGCCGCAAATTATTTCCTGCAAGTACCAGCAGCCCAGACTTCTCTTTCCACAAAATGCCCGAGAATTAAAAATAATGTCTTTTCACTGAACAAGATAAATTAAATGTGAAATCTATCTTTTTCATTCTTTGTAGAGTAATAGAGATGTACAGCACAGAAACAGACCCTTCGGTCCAACTCGTCCATGCCGACCAGATATCCTACATTAATCTAGTCCCATTTACCAGCATTTAGCCCATATCACTCTATTCATACACCCATCCAGATGTCTTTTAAATGTTGTTATTGTACCAGACTCGACCACTTCCTCTGGCAGCTCATTCCATACACGCACCATCCCCTGCGTGATAAAGTTGCCCCTGAGGTCCTTTTAAATCTTTCTCCTCTCACCTTAAGCCTATGCCCTCTAGTTTTGGACTCCCCCCACCCTGGGGAAAAGACCATGGCTATTCACCCTATCCATCCCCCTCATGATTTTATAAAGCACTATAAAGTCACCCCTCAGCCTCTGACGCTCCAGGGAAAACTGGCCCAGAATAATCAGCCTCTCCCTAGAGCACAAACCATCCAACCTTGGCAACATCCTTGTAAATCTTTTCTGAACCCTTTCAAATTTCACAACATCCTTCCTATGGCAGGTAGACCAGAATTGCATACAGTATTCCAAAAGTGGTCTAACCAATGTCGCAACATGACCTCCCAACTCCTATACTCAATGCACTGACCAATAAAGGCAAGCGTACCAAATGTCTTCTTCACTATCAGATATATCCTGCAACTCCACTTTCAAGGAACTATGAACTTGCACTCCAAGGTCTCTTTCTTATGAATATATTTTCCAGCCTAGGGTTCAATCCTGTAGAGTCCCAGTTATGATCCCTGTCAATACTTTTAAAAGAGTCTCAACAACTAGAAAGAACCAAAACACACAACTTCACATTTAATAAGTTTTCTGCTACAAACAAGATAAAATCAACATAAATCAAACAGTTAATGAGCAGCTAATACACTAAACTCAATAAAAGTTACAATAGAAAGTGAGTTAGTTCCAAATGTTAGTTTGCATGAACTATCAGAACTAATGTCTTTTGAAATAACTATACAGTGCAACAAACTTCTGAGAGGTATGTAGCATTAAAGTGACAGTTATAGTTACTCAGAGATTTCTAGCAGCAGTTCACCATGCAGGTCAAAATGTCTAGCTTTTTTTGATAATTGTTCCACTTCATCTAGATTTTCCCAGAAGTTTATGCAAAAATGTTTAATGTTATGATTCATATGATTTTGGAAAGATATCTAGTTTGGAGATTGAATTATTAAATGTAAGACAAATGAAAACCCTTTTTGAGGAGCTGGTAAAGAGAACTGTAAGTAATTTTCATTCCTGGAGTGGCCCTTATTTTCTACAAAAGGTCAGAATTATGTTATGAAGGGAAATAGCCGAACCCCTCAGATAATTAAACTAAAACACAAGCTCCAATCTGTTATGACAGGAGTAGGGGATCCACTCTAATAATTACCCCGTAAACACCCAGAGAAGCGCTTTCCCCTCGTAATCTATTAAGAGTGTTTAAAAGAAAGAAAATTCCTGATCTCCACTTTACAAGTAACAAAAAACAATTTATTTATTTAACCCAACAATGAACAAATTAACAAAATTACTAACAAACTGACAATTCCCCTTTAGACTACCAACCAATCCCTTTCTGTATCTAGGTGCTTTCTTTAAATTAATTGGCCACATTCAACCTCGTTATCGCAATATCAAAACAAGACTGCTGTTTTGCCTGCCATCTATAAAGCTTCTTTGATACACTTGCTTCACTTTTTGAGGCTCTCTGTACTGGCAACTTCAGCTGCTGCTCACAGACATACATTTTTTTAAATTTCTAAGTACACACAAAGGAACCACACATTTTAGCTTCCTGCCTTCCACTTCACAATTACTCTACCCAACCTCATAACAGTTGGGATTGGAAAAACACTAAGCAAAGGATAACTCCTTTCTGATTCTCTTGGTGGAGATAAAATATCTATAGTTGTCTTCATGAGGAGTTTAAATTAGTTGTTCAGTTTTCCAAAACAATGTGTTGGAAAGCAACTGGCAAACAATACAACATCTTAAAGTATCTGGTTCATAGGACAGGTTTGGGGTTTGAAGTTTATTTGTTGAAATTTCTATTTGGGATATACCAGGTATACCATGTTGCCATGGAGAAAGGTTGCAGGTGGGCAATATGTTTTTGAGTTAGTCTGTGTTAATTTTTCATGGAATACACATTGTTTTCATATGGAACAGCTTAAAAACATACAGAGAAAGCTGCTACCAATTGCAGATGGATTCTAGAAGCAGCTTTGAAAAAGAGAGAATTTAATAGAAGCCAAGGACCAGAAGCAAAAGAGCCGTCGAAACCAAGGGTACATTCCGATTTTGGAGGCACTGAGCAAAAGAGGAGAAAGGTCTGTGCCAGACCAGGATGTCCATCTTAAGGTGCTTAAAAACTGTTGGAAGATCACCTAGTTGGAAGATCATGGAAGGACTCCAAAACAGCTCAAACTGCAAACACTGAGGTGAATCAAAGTGAATTCCTCAGAACTGTGGCATACATTGGTTTGCTCCCAGAAGAATTAAAGGAACTTTAAGAGATCCCCAAGATCGTGGAAAGTATAACGGAATTCTTGGTTGGAATAAAAGAGCAAGGAGTTTGCTGCTCATAATTCACGCTTAAAATATGTATTTATGTTAAGTTTGCATGCTTGCTTTAATTCTTACATACTAGCAAATTGTTACATTTAAAAAGTTATTAACCAAGAGTTCAAATGTCATTTTAAAGGTCTCGAGACATACCAATACAGTTTTCAGGAGAAAGACACAATTTAGTGACTTCCCATTCTTGAAATCTTCAAGACTTGTTCTTTTCAGCAGAAACTAAATACTTGGAAGCATCCAGCTTTGTCATCACCACAAAACAGGCCTTTTTATTGCTTTCTCACTTCTTTTGTTTCTTTGTTTCTGTCTGAATCAGCAACTATCTTTTCCCTGGGAGATACTGTGAAAGGTGTTAAAAGTACCACCCATCTCAGTGGGTTTGAGTTTCTCTCCCCGTGACAACCTGATCGCATGAGCATTTCGCCAAGCTGAAGTACTTATCAGGATTTCTGCTTTGAATGTTCACCTCCTCCTTCCCCACACTCCACCCTTTACAGAAGTTTTGAGGGGACATTTGATGAAACATGGTGCTCTTGTACAGATTGGTGTTCATGACAATTTGATCAAAGACATTACCATTGCAGTGAGAGATAGCAGGAAACTGCTGATGCTGGAGTCTGAGATAACACAGTGGGGAGCTGGAGGAACACAGCAGGCCGGGCAGCGTCAGAGGAGCAGGAAAGCTGCCGTTCCGGGCCGGGACCCTTCTTCAGAAATGTTTGAACATTTCTGAAGAAAGGCCCCGACCCAAAGCGTTAACTTTCCTGCTCCTCTGATGCTGCCTGGCCTGCTGTGTTCCTCCAGCTCCACACTGTGTTACTATTACAGTAACGGCTACTCAATGGTGAAATCTTTGCCAAAGGTCCCAGCTAGCCTTGGGTCCCCACTTCAGAAATATCAAGCAGTCCATTTGCAATGAATTTTTCCAGATTTAAATGTTTGAAAGATTTCAGCATCTGTTTCTGTGGATTTAGGTTGTTCCGATGGACTATGGGAAGAAGGGAAAAGATCCCTTTACGAACACTTTATTCTACACAAAGGAGAACCCTAATGACACAATCAAAATCCCTAAAGATCAGGTAAATTTCACATCTGAAACAGCAATAGACCTTGGTTGTAATGGGGTTTTAAAAAGTGAACTCTTTCCAGTCACACAGTAAATACAGACTGGAGGGGACCCACTGCCAGTGCTGTGGTGGGAAGGCACTGGGCAGAAGGCTACCTCTGCCTCATGAGGTGTTGGGTAGCTCCATAAACTGGCAGCTTAACAGAGCCTTCATTCACTGCGGCACATTGGAGCTCATTGTATTATACCAGAAGGTCCATCCTTGTCAGTTTTATGCTGGTCTATGTGGATATGAACTTTCCGTCTCACGTGCCTCTCCAGGTGTCTCATCTATTGCCATCGAGATTTGCAGAGAAGCTGGTCCAAGTGTACTGCAAGAACGTGGCGATGGATGAAGATGCAATGAAAAAAGCCAAAGTCCAATTTGAAGTCTGGCATCAAGAGCTGAGGGTAGGAAAATGGGGAAGCCATCAGATTGTTGTGTTGTGTCTTCTCTCTGTGCTTGTATTCAGCTCTGGCTTGTTACTGTTGAGTTTTTATAATTGTGAGGCTGCAAGTGATTGGCTGCTCATTAATTTATTTTCTATTTGCTCCATACAATGGAATGATTCTGCTACAATCTGTGGCTCTGCTGTGAGGTCAGGGATCATGGGTTCAAATCCCACCGTGGTCGCTCGAGTGTGTGACTCAGGCTGAGGCCACTATCTGTTCGATATGATGAAAAACCAAGCCAGCAAAAAATGAGAGAGGTTCACTTAATGACAGCACGCATTAATCCAGCACATCTTAAACATCCCTTAAGCACATCAGAAAGAAGCAGTAGACCATTCAGCCCCTCAGGCCTGTTCCACCATAACTGATCTTGGGCTCCAACTTCACTTTGCATCCCACTCACAGTATCCCTTGATTTTCAGAGAGACTGATAATCTCTCTATCCCAACTGTAAACTTGTTCACTGATGGCACATCCATAACTTTCTGAGTTGGGGAATTCAAAAGTTTTTGAACCTTTTGAGTGAATAAATTTCTTCTCATTTCAGTCAAATAATCACCCCCTTATCCTGAGACTATGCTCCTGCTTTCTAGATTCCCCAGCAAGGGAGAAACTATCTCTGTGTCTACACTGCCGAGTCTCTTCAGAACATTGTATGTTTCAATGATATCCCATCTCATTCTTCTAAACTCCAGAGGCTGTAAGCCCCCTGTACACCATTTCTCACTATAGGACAAACCCTCATTCCAAGGATCAATCCAGTGAACTTTCACTGTATTGCCTCCATCACAAGTATATCCTTCCTTAAATATAGAGGCCAGTGCTCTGCATAATAATCCAGCTGTGCTGTCACTGAAAGTCCTGTACAATTATAGAAAGATTTCTTTATTTTTATACTCCAATCTCCTTGCAATAAAGGCCAACATACCACTTCAATTCCTAATTGCTTACCTTCACACTAATTTTTAGTATGCCCAAGGCTTTTTCTTTATTTTTTCATGGGATGTAGTTGTCACCAACTTGGTCAACATTTGTGCCATAGTTGTCCTTTGACTGAGTGTCTCACTGGACCATTTCAGAGGGCAGTTAAGACTCAACCACCTGGTATGGATCTGGAGTCACATGTACTCCAGACTGGGTAAGGACTTTAGAGTCATCATCTAAGATGTTCTGAAGGAATACCTGAGGCCTAATAGAATGAGGGAATAGATAATGGATAAATGGGGCTTCACGGTGGCTCAGTGGTTAGCACTGTCGCCTCACTGCAGATTCCAGCCTTGTGCAATTGTCTGTATAGAGCTTGCACGTTCTCCCTGTGTCTGCGTGAGTTTCCTCCGGGTGCTCCGGTTTCCTCCCACAGTCCAAGGGACAGGTTAGGGTGGATTGGCCATGCTAAATTTCTCCGTAGTATCCAGGGTAGTGCAGGCTATGTGGGTTATCTACGGTAAATGCAGGGACAGGTTGGGGGTTGGGATGCTTTTCAGAGGATCAGTGCAGACTCAATTGACTGAATGGCCTCTACCTGCAGTGGACATATTAAGAGTTAATTGCATGTAAATTGGTTGCATAAATTTTGTGAACTAGGAATCAGTGAGGTGTGAGATTCAGGACTGCAGTGAAGTGTAGCTCTCACTAAAAAGTTTGGACTTGAAATACAGTGAGCTTCTAATGTGCAACAATTTGTGAACCAGATGGATTTTTACAACTGATGATAATTGTCATTTTCACCATTGCTGTGACCAGATTTATAATCCAGATTTATTAATTAATTCAAATCCCGCAGGCTGCCTTCGTGAGATTTGAAACCATGTCCCCAGGGCTTTTTCCTGGGACTCAGTAATAACACTCAAATTACATTAACTTGTATAACCTAATCGTTTTGAAAGTGATAATGTTGGAAATTACATTACGCTGCACCCAATGTGGTGACGTCACACATCTGGAGAATATTCTCCTTCTCTATGCATAAAGTAAAAGTAAATAACTGCTCATTTCCCCTACATTATACTCCATACGCCACCACGTTGCCTACTACTTCTCTAAATTTCTTTGCAGTTCCTTTGTGTTCTCCTCACAGCTTGCTCTCCCAGGGAGCTTTGTATCATCAGCCATCTGAGATACATTGCATCTCTATCTCTTTGCCTCAGTTATGGATGTAGATTGCAAATAGCTGAAGCCACTTCATTAATCCTTTTAGCACAGTCACATAAACATCCCCAAATATGTTCACTCTCTGTTTCCCTCCTCTTTGATCAATCCTTTGTCAATGTTAATACAGCACTCCCAATGACATGAATCCTCATCTTGAGTATTAAATGGTACCTGTGCTCAGAGGCCAATCCACAGCATCTCTCATAGGTCTCTCTCTCTCTCTGCCCCACCGCTCTCCCACGGAGGGACCAGGTTACAGTGGGAAAAGGTGTGGTAAGCACTGATCTGGGGAATTTTCAGTAATAATAACCAGTGCAGTGCTCATTTCTGCAGCCATCTCTTTTAGAACCCTAGGGTGTAAGCCTTCAGGTCCTTATGATTGGTCAAATTTTAGTCCCCTAAGTTCCTTCATTATTTTTCACTCTCTGCCGACGTTACTTGCCTTCAGTCCTTCACGCACATTAATCTATTGATTATCCTCTGTTTCTGGTACATAACTTGAATTACTAGTGTGGAGACAGATAGGAACAATGGTTGAATGTCTCTGCCATTTCTTCATCCCCATGATAATTTTTCCTATCTCAGTCTCAAATGGAACCAGTGTTTACTTTAGCTGTCCCCCTCTTTTTACATATCTGTAAAGGCTCCAATCTTTTCACTTTTATCAATTTTTGCTTCTATTTTCTTTGTTTCTAATTCAGTCCTGATCCTCCGCTTAACTGTTATATTTGAAACATTATAAACCTCTTCCTTCGATCTAATACTATCTTTCACTTCCTTGGTAAGCCATTACAGCTTTGGAAGATACAACTTGTATGTGGCATATATTGCGGCCAACTGTTCATTGGTGGTGGTGAGGTGAATATTTCAGATGATGGATGGGGTGGCAACCAATTGGGCTGCTTTATCCAGGGTGTTGTCAATATTTCTTGAGTGTTGTTGGAACTGCATTCAGCCAAGCAAGTGGGTGAGTACTCCATCACATTCCTGGTATGGCCTATTGATGGTAGGCAGACTTTAAGGAGTCAGGAGATGAGTTACTTGCTGTAGAATTTCCAGTATTTAACCTGTCAGTGTAGCTAGTGGAGATTTCCCCATGATTCGGACACATTAATTTTGCAAAAGCTCCTTGATGCCACACTTGGTCAAATGTGACCTGAAGGTCAAGGGCAGTCACTCTCGCCTCTTTTGTCCATATTTGGACCATGGTCATGAGCCAGTGACCAACAACGAGTATCAGGAAGTTGGTTGTTGCTGAGAAAATGCTGTTTTGTAGCACTTCTATCACCTTGCTGATGGTCAGAAGTAAACTAGGGGACAGTAGTTGGCTGAATTGGATTTGTCCTTTTTTTTAGTGGACAGGACATGCCTGGGCAACCTTCCACATTGTCTGATAGATACCAGTGTTGTAGCTGTATCGGAACATTTTGTCTAGGGGCACTGTCAGTTTTGGAACATAAGTCACTTTTGAGATGGGGGGAGCAAAAGTTTGATCCGAATTGGGTTTGAGGTGTCTGAGAAATGAGGCACTTGGGTTTAGCCAGGAAACTTCAGAGCAGAGGACAAGATTGATGAAGTTATGACAACAATAACGCTGGAAAGGCTTGGATCTGGTGGATGTAGCCTCGAGAGACAATGTTCCCTAACTGTCACTGAATTCATCAAGTCATCCATTATCATTTGAAACGGAATTGGATGTATCTCAGGGAGGAATTTTTGACAGATGTGGAACAGCAGTACATGGCAGGTAGCGTTTTTGGACCTTCTAGGTCACAGCCATGCTCATGCGTGTGTGGCAAAAACTAAGTCATAGAACATAGAACATAGAACCGTACAGCACAGTACAGGCCCTTCGGCCCACGATGTTGTGCCGAACTTTTACCCTAATCCTAAGGTCTATCTAACCTCCACCCCTACCTTATACTATCATCCATATGCCTATCTAATGGCCGCTTAAATGCCCCTAATGAGGCCAACTCCACTACCCTCTCCGGCAATACATTCCACGCCCCGACCACACTCTGAGTAAAGAACCTACCTCTGACATCTCCCCTATATCTACCTCCACTCACTTTAAAACTATGCCCCCCCCATAATAGCTATCTCCACCCCAGGAAAAAGTCTCTGGCTGTCCACTCTGTCTATACCTCTGATCATTTTGTACACCTCTATCAAGTCACCTCTCATCCTTCGTCGTTCTAAAGAGAAAAGCCCTAGCTCTCTCAACCTTTCCTCGTAAGACCTTCCCTCCATTCCAGGCAACACCCTGGTAAATCTCCTCTGCATCTTTTCCAACGCTTCCACATCTTTCCTGTAATGAGGTGACCAGAACTGGACACGATACTCCAGATGTGGCCGAACCAGGCTTTTGTATAGCTGGAGCATAACTTCACGGCTCTTGAACTCAATCTCTCTATTAATGAAAGCTAACACACCATCTGCCTTCTTAACAACTCTATCCACCTGGGTGGCAGCTTTCAGGGAACTGTGGACATGAACCCCAAGATCTCTCTGCTCCTCCACACTGCCAAGAATCTTTCCGTTAACCCTGTATTCTGCTTTCAAGTTTGTCCTTCCAAAATGAATCACCTCATACTTTTCAGGGTTAAACTCCATCTGCCACTTCTCAGCCCAGCTCTGCATCCTATCAATGTCCCTTTGTCAGCTAGAATAGCCCTCCACACTGTCCACAACTCAACCCACCTTCATATCGTCTGCGATAGGAGTCAATAATGCAAAGACCAAAGTATGACAGAGGCCAACACTGAAATACAAACAGAAAATGTTGAAATTACTCAGCCACATGGAAAGAGAAGCAGAGTGACAATATCATGGCACTGTTGTAGGAAGTGCAGCAAACAATTAGCGTACAGCAAGCCCCACAAAGCCCCAGATACAACCTCCACAGGGCTATCAGAGATGCCAAGAGGCAATACCGGACCAAGTTAGAGGCCCAAACCAACCATATGGACACCTGCGGCCTGCGGCAAGGCCTACACGGCATAATGGGATATTAAATGAAGCAGAACAGAATAGCAAACAAAAACACATCCCCGTCTGTTGTGCTGAATGATTTGTGCCCTCAGTTGGAGCAGAATGCCAGTGGAATGACGTCACCTGCCCTCAGAGCTCCAGATGCACACGTTCCCACAGTCACCGTGACAGGCATCGGATCGACCTTCTTGCGAGTGAACCACAGGAAATCAACTAGCCCAGATGGAGTCCCCGGCTGTGCACTCAGATCCTGGGCGGACCAGCTTGGTGGGGGTATTTGCTGACATCTTTAACCTTTCCTTGCTGCAACCTGAAGTCCCCAGCTGCTTCAAGAGGACCACCATCATCCTGGTAGCAAAGGAAACACATGCAACGTGCCTCAATGACTACCAGCCAGTGGCTCTGACCTTCATAATCATGAAATGCTTCGCAAGGCTGGTCATGGCCCACACCAACTCTAGCCTCCCAGAATGCCTTGCTCACTTGCACTTTGCCTACTGGTGAAACAGGTCCATGGCAGATGCCATTTCCCTAGCCCTTCACTGTTCCCTGGAACTTCTGGATAATAAAGATACCTACCTCAGGCTTTTACTCATTGACTGCAGCTCCACCTTCAACACTATAATCCCAACCAAACTAATCTCCAAACTCCGAGACCTAGCTCTCGGCTTCACGCTCTGCAACTGGATCCTCAGCTTCCTGACCCACAGACTGCAATCGGTGAAGATAGACAACAGCACCTCCTCCATGATAATCCTCAACACTGGCGCCCCACAAGGATGTGTACTGAGCTCCCTACTGTACTCCCTGTACCCATGGCTAAATTTCATCCAAACACCTCTATAAGTTCGCTGACAATACCACTGTTGTAGGCCCGATATCAAACAATGAGGAGACAGAATACAGAAAGGAGATAGAGTGCTTGGTGTTGTGGTGCAAGATAACAATTTCTTCCTCTATGCCAGCAAAACTAAAATGCTGATCATCAACTACAGGAAGAAAGGAGGAGGACGTGCCCCTATTTACATCAATGGAGCTGAGGTGGAGAGGGGTCAAAAGTGTCAAGTTTCTGGAGTACCAATAGCCAACAATCTGTCCTGGACCACCCATGCAGATGCTCTGTCCTGGACCACCCATGCAGATGCTCTGTCCTGGACCACCCATGCAGATGCAACAGTCATGATGGCACAACAACGCCTCTTCTTCCTCAGGAGTCTTAGGAAATTCAACATGTCCACAAGGACCCTCACCAGCTTTTACAGGTGCACCATAGAAAGCATTCTATCTGGGTGCATCACAGCAACTGCTCTGCCCGGGACCATCAAAAACTAAAGAGAGTTGTGAACACAGCCCAGACGATCACACAAGCCAACCCCCCATCTACTTATTCCATCTATACTCTTGCTGCCATAGAAAAGCAGCCAACATCATCAAAGACCCCTCCCACCCCAAGTATAATCTCTTCCAACCTCTTCCTTCAGGCGGGAAATATAAAACACACGTACCAACAGATTCAAGAACAGCTTTTTCCTTGCTGTTGTTAGACTGGTGAATGGACTTCTCAAATTTCAAATCTAATGTCAATCTTGCTTTCGTACATCTCTTGTGCAGCTGTAACTCTGTATGCCTCGCTCTGTTAAATCACCCTATGATCTGTATGTCCTTTTATATTATGATCTGTCTGTCCTGCACGCAAAACAAAACTTTCTGTGCTCAAGTACAGGTGACAATAAATCAAATCAAATCAAGTGATAAAAAGCAATATGACAATGACTGATGATCCATTTTGAGTGGATTACCCGAGACAACAAATTATAGTGAACCCCTCTGCTCTTCTTCAGAATAATGCTGGGCATCTTTTACATCCACATGAAAGGGCAGACTGCCTTTGATTTAATGTTTCATTCAACAAGGCGATGTTGATCTTGATTTTGCACTCAAGCTGTGTCATTGATAAAATTGTAGATTTATAGAGACAGTTAATTTATGATGTAAAGTTTAAACATGATGGTAATTATTCTCCCTTCTCAAAAAGCAATTGCTGATAACTTCATTTTCTTACCTATTTACAGAACCGTGTTAATCCTGCTTCTTGCTCTAAATAGAATGACAGTGACAGTGAAAGTGACAATTTGATCCCAAAAAATGACCTCCAGTTCCATCACCATGTCAGTGACCACGGGCCAAAGATGAAGCTTTTCAAATAGAGAAAATGGGAATTCCCTGTGAAAACTGGGAGACTTGTTACATCTTGTTCTATTCCAGCAATGGAGTCATATTCATGTGGGATCACTTAGTCACCTTAGGTCTTTAGGGCTTTCACACCTGGAAACAGCTCTGACTATTTTCTCATTTAAATGAAAAGTAACCTCTCATACATAGGAACCTAAATTTGAATGGATGCATAGCTATATATTTGATTGCTCAGTGAGGGAGTAAGCCTGTTGCTATAGATCTGTTAATTGCTTCATATGTTCTATTCAGCATACAGTTAATGTATTATAATACAAACTGAATTTTGGTTACTGAAACCTTGGAGAAACTGTTGAAATAGTTATAGTGTCTCTTCTGACATAGTTATGACAAGGCTCATTGCAGTCAGTTTCCTAACGGAGCTGTTTTGATGGTGTCTGACATGTGAATATTGTTGAGGAGATTATTGGAAATTCCCTGGTCCATTGATTCCTGGTCACTGTACTGGAGATAACCGGGGATTTGTGACACAAGGTTATTGTGTCAAGTCTTGATATTGTCCAGACTAAAGTCGTATTTGGGAGATAGTAGGAACTGCCGATGCTGGAGAATCTAAGATAACAAGGTGTAGAGCTGGATGAACACAGCAGGCCAAGCAGCATCAGAGGAGCAGGAAGGGTT